GTTGCAGCGGGGAGCACAGGAAGCTTTGGTAGGCATGAAAAATGGGCATGGAGATCACAATAGTCATCTCTTTTCATGTTCATCGCCATGGCCATCGTCATCTCCAAGCTAAGCTTCATGGGGGGAACGTGACCCTTTCCTTCTTTTTTTTTTTTTGTGACCCTTTTCTGACGACGACGATGAGACACGAGAACATTTTTCATTATATATAAAAGAAAAAAAAAAACAGGGCACCGACTCTTGCATATCTCATGTTTCGTGTCTGAAAGGCAAGAGCCGCTGCCGGTTTTTTTTTTTTTTTTTAAGCCAGCAGGTAGCACCCCCGCAGCAATAAGACTGATATCCGTCATCGCACGAGCTTTCAGATTACACAGTTTTTATGGCGATGCTAGCGGCATCGCAATAAACATATTGTTTTTTTTTCAAATTGCGGACAGTCAGCCTGCGTTCCTGGGAACACGTGGCTTTGTATCGTTTTTTCATCTGAGTTCATGTTTTTCTTTTTCTTTTTCTTTATTATTATTATTATTTTTTTTTTAATCAATCAAGTTGGTGTTGAGAAGCATGTCCAGGAGGAGGAAACAAAAAAACAAAAAACAAAAAAAAACAAAAAAAAAAAACATGTATATATGAACATTGCTTTCATTTCATTTCATTTTTACCCTTGCGAGCTTTCAGATTTTTCATTTTAATTTCCCCCCCCTCTCCCTTGTACGTCAAGAAACGTGGACGTATGATGGGTATGCAAGGCGAATTCCTATTTTGGACCCTTTTTTTTTTTTAACTAACTACATTTCTTTTTTCAAAACTATACACTATATTCGTCTCTCAAATTCTTTCTTCTTTTACAACCTACCTACCCCTACTCCTAAGAAGGCTATAATACAGCGGACCCCTGCAAGCATAGCTATCTATATCTACCTTTCTTCGATGAAGGGAAGTTACCCCCTCTCAGTTATAAGGGAGGTAATTGCATATTTCCGGTCACTTATAACCGCAAAAAAATGGGAATTAAAAAAAAAAACGAAAAAGAAGAAGAAGAAGGGAATGTGAGTTTGGCTAACAGCCAACGAGTCCCTAGACCCACATTTGGGGCCCCATCTATCTCCTCCGTGATTTAATTTTATTTTTTCTTTTGGATCCGTGATTTAATTCAAGTTACAGTAATCGGCATTACGCGCTCGGGGCGCCTGTAGACAAGTCTGCACGAGTGGGTTTCCTTTTTCTTTTTTTTTGGGTTTCCTTTTTCTTTCTTTCTTTCTTTCTTTCTTTCTGTCTTTGTTTCTCCTTCCTTCTTTTTTGTTTTGTTTTGTTTTGTTTGTTTGTTTGTTTGTTTGTTTGTATGTTTGTTTGTTTGTTTTTTATAAAGGGCCACGGCCTTGATAGATATAATCATTGAGCTGACCAGGCCCATGTAATTCAGAAATATTGTCTCATTCATCTGGTTCCGTCGTGTGGATTCGAACTCGGGTCTGAATTTTTATTTTTTTGGGTTGTCAACAGTGTAATCCAACCCCTTTTATATTCTGGGGTGTACCAACTGAGCTAGGCTCATTGGTTCTTTTTTTTTCTTCTTCTTCTTCTTCTTCTTCTTCTTCTTTTTTTTTTTTTTTTTTTTTCGGACCATTTCTCGATTTATGCGTGTCATCCTTGCGCAGGGGCCATGCTAATCTACTCTGTATCGTTCCAATTTTAACGGATGTCCCGAAGGACTCTTTTTTTTTTTTGGGTGTGTGTGTGTGTGTGTTGTCATATTCGCTATATACTGAAAAAAGAAAAAGCATGACTGTACCGAACAGACTGTTTCGTCGGACTTTCACCGACTCATCAGGAGGTTGAACCCCAACAGCCTACCCAGGATTCATTTGACTGATGGATAAGGAAGGACTCACCACATCGCCCAGAGTTAGGGATACCCCGGAA